AACGGGACCGAAAACCCCAGCCAGTCCACGAGGCTCCCGACGGAGGCGCTGAACGCCAGCTTGCCCAGCACCTCCAGGGTGGCCAGGAAACTGTAATGAGTGGCCTGCAAAGGGCAGACACGCACCAGCATGAGTCCGGGGCGCAGACAGGCCCGCCAGTTCCAGTGTCTTACGCAGCCCATGCCTAGCACATCCCGCAAAGGTGGGGGGAAGCGGCTGCTCCACACAGGGTCCGGCCCCTCCCAAGAGCTGTGGGGCAGGCCCAGAGCTGCACAGGGAGGCGGCAAGGGTTGGGCCTGCCCCTGCACTCACTGGCAGCAGGAAGTGGGGCAACCCAGCTCTGCTCCCTTGGCTCCCAGCCCTGTGGCTCCAGGGGGGGGCGGGACCCGCGCCCGCCTCACTGATGGTGGGAAGTGGAGCGACGTGGCAGGGATGGTCCAGGGCCAGGTCGCTACTGCTGGTGTCTAGGGGGCAAACCCAACCCCTGCAGCTGGCACCAGACCCCCCACTAATCCCCTGGGCCACATCACTCAGAGGGGAAAGGGTGGAATGGGCCCCATGCCCTCCCGGGATGGCGGGGATGGGTCTGGCTGCCAAAGCCTGATGGTGGGAAGTGGAGCGACGTGGCAGGGATGGTCCAGGGCCAGGTCGCTACTGCTGGTGTCTAGGGGGCAAACCCAACCCCTGCAGCTGGCACCAGACCCCCCACTAATCCCCTGGGCCACATCACTCAGAGGGGAAAGGGTGGAATGGGCCCCATGCCCTCCCGGGATGGCGGGGATGGGTCTGGCTGCCAAAGCTACCCAGGGCTCCGGGCCATTTGGGGCCTAGTTTGCGTATTGGCAGGGACGGCTCTGGGCGCCGAGCGCCAATGGGAACCACTTCACGCCAGCAGGTGCTGCAGCCGCGTACGCAGCCAAGCAGACCCAGGTAACCAGCGGCAGCACCCGAACCCTGGGCTGCCGGAAAGGGCCAGGAGCTCCAGGAAGGACCCGACTGTCATTCCCTTCAGCAGCTTGGAGCCAAGTCCCATCTCCTGAGCTGCCGGGGGGCCTGTGGGAACTTCTCTTGTGAGCTTGGTGAACCTCCTCCCTTTTCTGCACCCAAGCTCCCCACCTGCCTAGTGCAGAGGACACTTCCTGGGGACGGTCACATCTGGGAGGGCCGCAGAGAGCCTCGTCACTCTGGGCTCTTCACTACTACTGGTGAGTTACCCCTCTCGGCAGCCCACCCACCCCGCCATCGCCAGTACAGGCCCCTGGGGCACTGGCAGAGGTGCTGGTTGCTGGGTACCTGGATGCTGCCATCTGCCTTCTGCGTGCACTGCATCATGGCGCTGAAAGCCAGCGTGGTGATCATCCCTGCGGTGAAGTGCTGGACAAAGATGCTCAGGATCGCAGCCCCTAGGCACAGGACATGGCAGCAGGAGGGAATTCGGGAGATCAGTCCAGGGCTGGCGAGAGGCACGGCCCATGTGCAGGACCAGAAGCAGCTTTTTCAGCGTTCTACTCCCAGAGCGTGTGGCCGAGAGGGTGTGTGGCCATGCACAAGTCACTTAACCTCTCTGAAAGAGCTGGGCAGAACACGGGTTTATCCCCCTCCTCCAGTGAAAAACTAATGTGAAAAACAAAATTGTTTTCATCTCAATTGAATGTTTTAGCCCAAACCAAGTATTTCCATTGAGATCTACAATCCTTTCAGGAATCTAAAAGGCTGTCACAAAGAGGGTGAAAAATTGTTCTGCTTGCCCTCTGAGGATAGAACAAGAAGCAATGGGCTTAAACTGCAGCAAGGGAGGTTTAGGTTGGACATTAGGAAAAACTTCCTGCCTGTCAGGGTGGTTAAACACTGGAATAAATTGCCTAGGAGGGATTGTGGTCTCCATCATTGGAGATATTTAAGAGCAGGTCAGATAGACACCTGTCAGGGATGGTCTATATGGTACTGAGTCCTGTCTTGAGGGTAGGAGGCTGGACTCAATGACCTCTCGAGGTCCCTTCCAGTTCTAGTGTTGTTATGAAATGCTGCCAAAATGCCACCTTGGAGGTGTAGTTTGGGTGCCTCCCACGCCCATGTGCTATAGGCTGGGCTCCAGTAGAGAACTACTTCTCCCAAGATGCACCATGGTCTCCCCTTGTGAAGGGAGGAAGGGGAGCCTCATGAGAGTTCCTGGACACGCTGCACCACGGAGGACACAGTTCAGCCAAGAAGCGTGCCAGCATATCCAAACTGAAGTGCCCTGAGAGGTCTGGTTTGACTAAATCAAAATGTTCCACAGAAAACCAAAACCTGTTGCCCAAAACATGAAGATGAAACCCCACTTTCCAACAAAACACAGTTCTGACCAACTGTG